TATTGCATTTGCAAGATATGAGGGGGTGTCTTTTAGGCATGACTTTTGAAATGAAAAATCATCTATATCACACTCTTTTACATATTACACTATATAATAGCTAACATGGGAAACTTCATTGGATTTGATAAGAAAATAAAAGAAAAGAAAAAAAAAGTAATTTAATTTTTGGTATTATTTTGAAGATTTAGTCTAGGAATTTGTTTGATCAATCGATGAAATTGAATGTTTTGGCGAGAGTGAGGAATATTTCATCCTGCAACATTTTATTTGTCGTTTTGAGCTGATGCACACGTATTAAGAAAATTAATAAATGTGCATGGATTCTAGAAAAATCGTGATGAAATGACTAAAGAAATCACTTTGTTAATTGTTTCACCTTATTTTATTGAGAGTAGTAAGGGCAAATACAGTTTTCGTTCCTCAAGCTTGTACCGATTTTATGGTTGGTCCCTCATGTTCACTAAAAACTCATTTGATCCCTCATGTTTAAAAAATCAACAATGTGGTCATTTTCATCAATTTTTCGTTAGTACTAACGAAATCAAGTATGTGCCTTAAGGCCCTTAACTAACGAACTATTGAATATGGGGGGTCGAATAAGAAATTAGTGCAAAGTTGAGGGATTAAATTTGTAATTATCCTATTTAGTATTAATGCAAACTCACACGATAAAGATTACAATATTTTTTTTAAGGTTCAGCTCTAACTTATTAATGATTACTAGTAATTGTACCCGTGCGATGCACGGGACAACAAATTGCATTGTTTTGATGTTGTAAGAATATAAACAAACGTTTGATGTATCTTATGATCAAAATTCTATTATACTGGAACATCATTAAGTATACTACACACAAAAAAAAGGAAATAACTTTACTATTGAATAATTTTCCAAATGAATTGAATCAGCTAATACCAGTAGATTGAAAATTTGAACCAGGAAAAAAATCATCAACTATGTCTTTTATGTTGAGCTTAAAAGTAATTAGATTTAATAACTTAGTTAACATAATCAAAACTAAACTATCGACAACATAAAAGGCCATCTATACATCTTGCATCGGAACTAAGCCCTTCTCCACTGCCTCATTTTAAGGTTGTTTTGCCACTGGAATTAACAATTGGAAAATTAAGAAACAAAAATAAATACAAACAATAAATTAAATATCGCATACAAACAATAAGTCTTGAAGGTCGACTTCCAATAGCTTGTGGCTCCGCCCATTTTTGGTTAATTTTCTCAAATCATCCCTTTTAATAACATGTCCAATAACATATAAAATGAAATAATTGTTATACATAAAATTTGAAAACTTTGGTATAAATTAATGAACACATAATTTAACAAAATGAAATTACCTATAAGCCATGATGGAAAAATATGTAAACTAATTGCCACACAGTCAATAGGATGAAGAAGAAGATAAGGAACAAAATCTAAACTCGGGTTACCAAAAGAAGAAGCCTTAGGTAGGGAAGAAATAAAATTCAAATGTTGCAGACATTCTGTAAAACGATGTCACAAAATCCGCTAGGGATGAAAATCAGATTTATTTACCCTTTTCTGTAAAAATCGAAAATCAGATTATTATAAATAATATATAGGAAAACTTGATGAAAATCGATAATAATATTTAAAATAATATTTAGGAGATAAAAATTTGATAAAAAAAATCAAAAAATAATATTTAGGAGATAAAAATCTGATAAAAATTAAAAATAAAATTGAAAACAATAGTTAGGAGATAAAAATTTGATAAAAAATCGAAAATAATATTTCAAATAATGTTAATGAGATAAAAGTTGATAAAATATGAAAATAATAATTAGAATAATATTTAGGAGATAAAATATAATTAAAATCATTCCGTAATAACTCCAATTCCACATTCATACCACTCCTCGGTATTATATTGAACCATATAGGTTTCCTTGATTGCTTCAAGCGTATATTGACCAAACTGATAAATTGTATTATAAAGATGTTTAGGTATGTTTCTACATAAATAATCTTTTAATATTTAGGAGATAAAAAACTAATAAAAACATGATAAAACTCGAAAAAAATATTTAAAATATTATTTAGGAGATATAAATTTGATAAAATTCGAAAATAATATTTAGGAGATAAAAATTTGCTAAAAGTTGAAAATTATATTTAAAATTATAGTTAGGAGATAAAAATTTGATAAAAATAAAAAAATAATATTTAGGAGACAAAAATCTGATAAAAATAAAAAATAATATTTAAAATAATATTTAGGGGATACAAATATGATAAAATTCAAAAATAATATTTAAAATAATATTAAGGAGATAAAAAATTTGATAAAAATTGAAAAAAATTACAAATATGACATAAGGGTTTCTTAGGGTTGCCCTAGCGTTTCTTTCTTTTATATATAAGATATAAGATATCTAGGAGATAAAAAATTGATGAAAATCGATATTAATATTTAAAATAATATTGAGGAGATAAAAATTTGATAAAAAATCAAAAAATAATATTTAGGAGATAAAAATCTGATAAAAATCGAAAATAAATTTAAAATCATAGTTAGGAAATAAAAATTTGATAAAAATAAAAAATAATATTTCAAATAATGTTAATGAGATAAAAGTTGATAAAATACGAAAATAATAATTAGAATAATATTTAGGAGATAAAGTATGATTAAAATCCAAATTATTATTTAAAATAATATTTAGGAGATAAAAATTTGATAAAAATCGAAAATAATATTTAGGAGACAATAATCTGATAAAAAACAAAATCAATATTTAGGAGATAAAAAACTAATAAAAACATGATAAAACTCGAAAAAAATATTTAAAATATTATTTAGGAGATATCAATTTGATAAAATTCGAAAATAATATTTAGGAGATAAAAATCTGCTAAAAGTTGAAAATTATATTTAAAATTATAGTTAGGACATATAAATTTGATAAAATTAAAAAAAATATTATTTAGGAGATAAAAATTTGATAAAAATAAAAAATAATATTTAGGAGACAAAAATCTGATAAAAATAAAAATAATATTTAAAATAATATTTAGGGGATACAAATATGATAAAATTCGAAAATAATATTTAAAATAATATTAAGGAGATAAAAATTTGATAAAAATTGAAAAAAATTACAAATGTGACATTAGGGTTTCTTAGGGTTGCCCTAGCGTTTCTTTCTTTTATATATAAGATATAAGATTATTATCACATCAACGTAGTGCGCCACTAGACTCAATATTGTTCGTTTGTGAGAGATTAAGATCTTTAATTAATTTTATTTAGTTTTCTTTTTTAAATACATTTTTTTATTGTGCTAATTAAATTGGGCCGCTTACTAAGTGGGATTTGATTTGATTATAGTGGTAATGTAACGAGCCAATAGTTAATAGAAGAATGTCTTACACTTAGATATTGGGTACTATCCAGAATTAGGAACCACTAGCTAATATATATATCCCCAAAATCCTTAATTAAATTACAGAAAAATGGATTTATTTACAAAAAAAAAAAAAAACCTCCAAAAACACAAACTCTCGAATCCATAAAAAAAAAGAGAAAAATATAACGATTTTATTAAATTTCGAAATTCATCTCAGAATAAAGTCCAACTCCTAAGGCAAAATTTGTAATTAAATCAGAGAAAAATGAAAAATTTGCAAAAATTGTCAAAATAAAAAAATAAAAGAAAAAGAAAAAGAAAAATAAGTCCTAATCCTAATAGTATTCTATTCAGTTTATGTAACTAAATTCTAAATTTTCTAACTAAATTCTTAAATGACTCCTCCATCGTTCATCATCTCTTCGCCGTTTTTTTGCTTTGTTTTCCTTTGGAAAAAGTAGGCCAAACGCAAATCCAACTCCGTCGCCCGGATTAGTAGAAGTCCGACGACTCTATCGCTCGGACTAATAAAATATTAAAATAATATTTTTTAGGATAAATTATACCCACATCTCTGGGGTATGCTTAAATAACTTTAAGATTCCTACTGAAACATTGTTAGAAATTTTAACGGAATAATGCATTGGATTTGTCTCCACCACTTTCTGAAATTAATAATCCGTTGGAACTGTAATGGAATAACTTATCGAATGCATTATCCCGTTAGAGTTACTAACAATGTTCCACAGGGATCTTAGAGTAAATTTATCATACCTCAAGAATGTGTAATTTACATTATTTTTTAAAGAACCGTAAGTGTTGTGGGAGCAGCCATTTACTCCATTCATTGCGTCTTCGAACCTTGTAACCCTGATAACAAACAACACAAAAACGATTATGTCACAGTTCATAGTTCACGAAACTATAAAATTTAGAATTGAAAAACACTAACCTGTAACTCCACAATGTTCGATTTTTGTAAAGATGCCCAAATATATGAAATATCTTCCGTCAAATTTTGCATCTAAAAAGGGAATAGATATTTATTAGTATATCCAAAAAGCCAAATACATTCATTTCAACATAAAAACTAAGAATGCCGATGCAACTTACGCGAGGGAACGATGCAATTAAAGAAAGTTCCACCCAACCAGATTCGTCCATATTCTCTCTAAGAAATTGATCCTTAACTAAATTTGCGTCGCTGGTAGACAAAAGAGAAAAGAAAGTCAGACATTTTGATAATTAAATAAATAAATTATTACTAAGAGATGCTTCATTGCTTGAAAATTAGATGGAAAAATACCTAAAATAATAGTGGACTTGATTAAGAATTCCATCCCTAATCATCATGTTGTCTGCAAGATGCAAAAACCGTTGTAAGTGTTGGAATGTATGTCGAAATAGTCTCGAATAGTACCAGGAATTAAACATTGTTAGAATTATTTCGTGCAAACTGCAAATACTAAAAAAAATCAATTGAGGCGAAAAAATGAAATAAAATTTTCTGTGTTTTGGCTGGAAAAAAATTAACCAAGTGGAGCTGAAATCAATTAAAATCAATGTATTCCTGAGGTATCGAACCCATGAACTCCAGAATATATTTAGAGAACTTCACCAGAACACCAAACATAATTTTGAGATTTACGATGGTGCATTGGATACATCCCATTCCCAACCCTTAAATCCGCCCCTACAGTTTTCATAAAAAAATTTACCAAACCTACCTTGCCCTATGAAAGGTCTCCAATAATGTGGTGGGTATGCCATACGTTGTTGATCCATGGGACGTGGAATATGGTAATTTTGATGATGAAAATTTATATAAACGTGAGGTTGGGGCCCACGCGGTCTTCCGTGTGCCATAGGTCGGTGCGCAATAGGAGCACCATGCCGATTGTGATTATAGATTGGCGCCTATTTCAAAATCAAAACGAAAATAAAATCAGTAAAATCCACAAGTATTCAATGATTGAAAAATTGTATTTAAAAAATTTAGGGTTTGTGAAATCACATAAATTAGGTATACTTTTACTTAATTAAAAAAAAAAAACTCAAATTTTATATAGCTTTTATGATCACATGACGGAATTAAAGAGATGAATTTACTCAAAAACAAAATCAAGAAAAAACATTAATACAAACGATACTCATGATTATCACAAAAAAAAAAAAAAAATTATATTAACCTGAGATGGTTGCCGGGGATTTGACGGCTGCCACCAGGAGGGTGGGGCAGATTGGGAGGGAGTCCAGCTGGTTGACGGCTGCCACCAGGAGGGTGGGGCAGATTGGGAGGGAGTCCAGCTGGCAGTAAAACCCGATTGTACGGCGCCGGCGCCGCTGGTATTGGTATTAGAACCATTGGAGGACGACATAATATTAGAAATCAGAAATCGTATTTTTGTTGTAGAGAGAGAGAAAGGAGTATTTGATTCGACAGTATAATTTATAAAGAGAGAGATGGATTATACGTATATATATACATATGTGTGGGGCCCGATACAATAGTTCGAATAGGAAAAGGATTTGGTATTTGGCAATAATCTAGGATTATGTCAGACATGCAAAAGAGTTTGATTAGAAAACTAACTCCTCTCGTATTTGATTTCATGTAGAGTAATTGCAGTATGCTTAATTATATAACATATATTTTAAGAAAAACACGAAAATATGTTTCTTCTAGTTGTAATTTATAGTTGACAGTATAAACTATTAGAGGGACTTATTTAAATATACTAGATGTACTGTCATCGGACCAAACGAGAAAAGGATTAATAATTAAATAAATGAAATCAAGATCAACGAGAATCTCACGAAGAACGTGACTATAAAATTATCTTAACATGATAATCTTTAGTGCTTTATTTTTATTTTTAGGGTAAATTACACCCACACCCTTGAGATATGCTTAAATAATTTTAAGGTCCCTATGGTATCGATAATTGCACTCACCCCCTGAAACGTAGTTAGAAACTCTAACGGGATAATGCATTGGATACATTATTCCGATAGGGTTCTAATGGACTATTACATTTAACTAGTGATAGAGATAATATAGAGTTATGGGGTGACATGGCTCCCCCAATATTTCTTAAATTACTCATAACTTTTTGTTGTCTCTACCACTTCCTGAAACCAATAGTCCGTTAGAACTCTATCGTAATAACGTATCTAATGCATTATCCCATTAGAGTTTATAACTACGTTTCAAGGGGGTGAGTGTAATTATCGATACCACAGGGACCTTAAAGTTATTTAAGCATACCTCAGGGGTGTGAGTGTAATTTACCCTTATTTTTATTTTGAGGAGAAAAAACGAATTTTTTTAGGCTAAACCAGTCAAAGCAGTAGAAAGAGAATAACCTTCCGTACAGTTCAAAACCGAAGAGGTATCAATAGCATGAGCGAGTTGATTGCAACCACACTTAATAAATGAGAAAGAACAACTACGAAAATTAATAGCAAGAATTTTAATGTTTTTTATATTGGCTCCATAAGCAATAAGAGAGCTCTCATCTTTATTTAAATTCGATCCCACATTTGTTTTTGTTATGCATATGAAACACACGGGCATAAAGAAATTGGATGTAATGCATTATTGTGCAAAATAAAATAAAATGAAGAGCAAATTACAAAGATCAGTAAGGCCTAATTACGAAAGAAAGAAAAAAAATTGTCCATGTTTGTAAAATCAGGAGCACCACCCGTAAAATATTCTACGTCTAACGAATTTACCCTCACAGAGTTAACAATCATAGAATCAAATAGATTCCATGGAATATCCATTTTTTAATGACCAAAATACCCTTCCGAGTCTAATTAGAATTTTTTTGCGGCACGTAGTTTCAGAGAGGTGCTCGTAATTATGCAACCAAGGACGAATGGAATCATTTAGTAATTAGGCAATTACCCGAGGAATCTTTGTAATTTGCCCTAAAAAAAAAAAAAGAGTATAAAAGTTGTACAAAATGTGGGGCCATTTATAGTAAATTTCCCGGAGGGATGAAGCGGTTGGTAGGTATGAATAATAACTATATTCACAGTTGAATTGCTGGGAAATTAAATCGAATATCACCAAACCCTAGCAACTCCAGCGATTAATTGCTAGCAGATTAAGTAACGGTTTCCGTTATAAATTTATTTTCAATTTTCATTGTTATTTCGACGAAAGTTTTCAAAGTCTTCGACGATTTTGTTAGTCAATGTGAATAATTTGAATTTGCCAAAAAAAAAAAAAAGGAAAAAAAACTTTAATTTAACCTCCGACCCCCACTCCCACTAGAGCACCTCTAGCTAGTGCTATAAATACAGTGTGTGTATTCAATTGTTTCCATCATTTCTATCACTACTCCATTAGCTTTTACATTCCAACTTTCCCTATTTGAAGAGAGAGAGAGATCTAGAGAGAGAAAGAGAGAGAGATCTAGAGAGAGAGAGAGAGATGGCTCAGACAACACCGAACCACACACAGACGGTTTCCGGCTGGGCAGCTCACGACACTTCCGGCAACATTACTCCTTACACCTTCAAACGCAGGTATATATATATATATATATATATATATATATATATATATATATATATATATATAATATATAATTCCTTTAATTCTCACTTCATCTCGTAATGTGTGTGTGCGTTCTTCCACCATTGAGTATCTACAATTTGAAAAAATAAAATAAAAAAATAAAAAAAATACTAATTATGCATTATTCCAATTTTTTTAAATGTAGTAATTTGAAATTATATTCTAATAAAAGTATTAATTTAATAATTGAGCAGAGAAAACGGGGTCGATGACGTCACCATAAAAATCCTGTACTGCGGGATCTGCCACACCGATCTCCACCAGGCCAAAAACGATTGGGGAATCACCATGTACCCCGTAGTTCCCGGGTAATTAATTAATTAATTAATTACTAATTACGGCCTCCGCTAATTGTAATTAAATTATACTAATTAATTGAGATTTGGTTGATTGAAAAAACCAGGCACGAAATCGTCGGGATAATAACGAAAGTGGGGAGCAACGTGAAGAATTTCACGGTGGGAGATCGCGCCGGAGTTGGGTGCTTGGCCGCCACCTGCTTGAAATGCGAGCACTGCATACAAGGACAAGAGAATTACTGCGACGCCGTTCAGTTCGTGTATAACGGCGTTTTCTGGGACGGCAGCATCACTTACGGCGGCTATTCTGAATCCCTAGTTGCAGATCACAGGTAATTAAAAAAAATTAAAATCAAAATTTAAATTGATCTAATTTGTGTGAAATTTGGGTAAAAGGTATGTGGTACGAGTTCCGGAGAATTTACCGATGGATGCGGCGGCGCCGCTGCTCTGTGCCGGAATAACGGTGTTTGCTCCGATGAAGGACAACAACTTGTTGGATTCGCCGGGAAAGAGGATCGGGATAGTTGGGCTTGGAGGATTGGGACACGTGGCGGTCAAATTCGCGAAGGCGTTTGGGCACCACGTCACCATTATTAGCACCTCTCCATCTAAAGAGAAGGAAGCCAAGGATAATTTGGGGGCTGATGATTTTATTCTCAGCACTGATCCTAAACAAATGCTGGTAAATTAATTAATTAATTAATTATATGATTTATTTATTTTTCTTCCAAGAAAAAATGAAATTTATTATTTAATTGCTAACATATACTGTTGCTATTTTTGGGGCAGTTGAAGAAAAGGAATCTGGATTTTATATTGGATACAGTATCGGCCCATCACTCTCTTGGGCCTATTCTCGAGCTGTTGAAAGTCAACGGTACTCTGGTGATTGTCGGTGCGCCGGATAAACCCATAGACCTCCCATCTTTCCCGTTGATCTTTGGTACGTATGCACAGTAGATATATATAGTTACTGTACGGTTCTGTAGATGCTACACCCGATGAAATACACTGAGTGATTTTAAACCACAGATCAACACACATCTAACGTGATTATTTATGTATATCTACGGTCTAAAATCACCCGGTGTAGCATCTCATAGACCGTTTACTTTACATAAACTATATATTTTATTTTTATTTGTTTTTAAATAGATGAGGATTAAATTTGCTTATTTGGATTAAAAAAACAGGGAAGAGAGTTGTGAAGGGGAGTATGATTGGAAGCATAAAGGAGACGCAGGATATGATGGATTTGTGTGGGAAGCACAACATAACATGCGATATTGAGGTTGTTAAACCCGATAAAATTAACGAAGCGCTTCTTCGTCTCGCGAAAAACGACGTTAAGTACCGTTTTGTGATCGACATTGCAGGCGAATCTTCAAAGCTCTAGAAAACTTCAGATGATTTTTAATTTATTGCTCCTATTGTCTACATTGAGTTATAAGTAATGTTGTAACATTTGTGTAATATCTTGTTTATTTGTACTCTCTGATTATGTACTTTTGATCATATTATTATTAATAAGCTTTAAATTATATTTGAAAGAGAAGAAAAAATCAAGAGTTCAAACTGTTTTCTCTCATGCAACAATTTGCCAAAGTATTAATTAATTAATACAATTTCAATAAAAGTATATTGAAATTGGGTATATTGCAAAGGAGATACTGATTTCATTATAAGCACCAATCCTAAACAATGCAGGTTTGTTTTTTGTACACGTGTCTAAATGAATCTTATTTAATTCTGAAATTAAAGTTGAATAAGACATTGTTGCTATATTTGGGGGCAGTCAAATAAAAGGAGTCTGGATTTTATTTTGGATACGGTATCAGCCCAACACTCTCTTGGACCTATTATTGAGCCGTTGAAAGTCAACGGTACTCTGGTGCTTGCGGGTGCACCGGATAATCCCATGGATCTTCGATCTTTCCCCTTGATCTTTGTTATGTATGCATAGTGGATGTATAAGGATCTCCGTTGATTTTAAGGTTAATGAGCATAATTTCATCTTTTAGTAGTATTTTCAAATAAAAATTCTTTATGTGTGATAGTTAAATATAGTTCCAATAATATATATCTAATTAAAAAATTACGAAATTATTGGATAGATATGTCTTTTATTATATTGAAATCGTAAAATAATGTTGTTGTTTTTTTTTTTTGTATTAAAATATTTTTTTTAGCGTAATATTGTGAGAAAGAAATAGTTGTAGGGTGAAAATTAAAATTTTAATAATTTGCAAGAAGAAGAGAAATACTTTCGTATATATGGTGTATTTATTGAGGGTATTTTCATCATTCCAATAATAGTTGTGTGCTGAATTAAATTGTTTATGTTCATCCATCATTATATAATTTTCTTTTAAGAAATAAATTTTGTCATACAAAAATAATATCCACATTTTTTTTTGTCAAAGACCTACAAATCAAATCATTTATTGAGAGAATTTTGTCAAAATATCAATTGAGGTGCAATGTCAATGATTTTTATTTTATTTTTTAGGGTATAAAATATTATTAATTTTTTTCTGGGGTGCAAAGTGACAAAATACTATATTTAGAGGGTGCGAGACGAAATTATGCCATGCAAAAATACATGTTTGTCATAACTGAAAAATAAATAAAGTGTATACGGTATTCCCAAAAGAAAAAGAAAAAAAGAAAAAGAAATATAGCTTCACTACAATAACAAGGACACGCGGCAGCACGAGAGGAGAAAACGAAAGGAACTTGACATTGACAAACGTAGAGTCAAAGAACTCCAATTTCTTTGATTTTTCCAATGAATTTCATATCATTCACAAAACCGTGTCGCATTTATTTCAACTAATTAATACTATTCACTCACAAACAATCAGCGGTTTATTAGATGCTACACTCGATAAATTTTTCGCTGTATGCTCGGTATTTTTCCAAGTCAACCTAAAAATTTATTATATCATAACATATCATGTCTTTTAGGATAATTATTTATCGGACCTCTTATGCATGGTCCAATAATACAATTGAGTATTCAAAAATATTTGCTTTATGAAATAAAACAAGACTGACTTACGTGTATAGATAACTATTCATTTCGTACACATCCAGATGTATATATACGTGGCCGTGTACACTATATATCCCGTATATTTCACGAGTGTAGCATCTGCAAACAATTGTCATGGATCAAGAAACACAACCCAAAAACGTGGTGAAAAAACAAATAGTGGATAAGGATGGACTTTAATTAGCAAAATGTATGTCTAAGGAAATGACACAAATACCCCTTTACAACCCCATGTCTTAAACTACACCCTCTTTTCTCTCTCTCTCTCTCTCTACATATCTCATGCAGCAAAGCTGGTGACATCTTCTCTCTAAGGTTTACACGTACAGAATTTTTGCGTGGAAGCAAAGTTACTGTGCATGATGATCGATGTATAAATGAACTAAAAAGCCACACAAAAAAAAAATTAAATTAAAAAAAAAATAGAAAATTCAAGGAGGTGTAAAATTAATTAATAGCAGCCAGCTGTTTTTCTTGATTTCATGTGTACTTTTTGTTTCTCTTCTTCCATATATATAGGGGCGTTCCTTAAGTAAAAAACATTTTTTTTTCTTTCTCTTACAATATTCGTGTCATGATCAAATCATCGTCTTCGACGAAAAACGGGTTCTGGTCGAAGCTAATTAGGCTGTCTCTCGGAAAGAAAGGTATGTCGTTTTTTTTCGTATCTAACGCGCTTTAATATACTTCGATCGTCTCAAAAATAGATCTTCATTTCATGCCTAGAGTTTGTGTTCAAGTGTAGTTGATTTGAATCCGATTTTAGAGTAATTAGGGTTTTTGTTCATGTATATGATGTTAATTAATTAATTAACATGTTTTTAATTTGTGAAATGATTTAATTTTTCAGGTAGACATGGGAAAGAAGAGATGGGTAGCTTGAAGGACAAGTCATCAAATGTGACTGAAGAATATACAGAAGCTTTTAGGACAAACTCTTACATAGAAATATGCAACAAAGTCCAAGGTAAACTCGAAACAAGAACTTCATCGTCTTCTTGTTCTTCGTCTTCGTCTCGTATAGACCAGGTGCCTCTCTCCGAGTATCTTCTAGAACCTCGACAAGAAACCCTAGATTCCATATTCGGAGCCTCGAATAATCATTTTCTTGCTAATTACTTCAACATTAGCGTAGAAGCGGGCGAAATATGTGAATCCTTACTCCAAAACGTCCACCAAGCACGCATTAACTACCGCACGGTTAAGGAGGCGGTCGATTTGATTAACATTGGGGCCCACACCGAGTACCACGCGTCGCACAAAGATATTTCCACATTTGCCCTCCACAAGAACCCTTTCTCGTCGATGAATCGCGATAAATTCGTAGAGCTACACAACAGCCACGCTCACTTGCTCCACCAACTGACATCACAGTACAGAAAGACAAAGCGAAAAACGAAATTCTTTAGATCCATCAAACGGGCCTTGATCACGGGCCTAATTGTGGGGTCCAGTGGGTTAGCCGTTGCTTTGTTGGTCCTCTCACTACACACCATGGTGGGATTAGTGGCTGCACCGGGACTACTAATCCTATGTTCTCTAGTCATCTTCTTAATGAAGAAATCGAAACGAAATAAAATAAAATCGAGGAAAAATAAACGGGTCGATCAAGATCGAGGGCTAGGATCACAGCTGGATGTTGCAGCCAGAGGGGTTTATATACTGATCAACGATTTCGACACCATGAGCCGGCTTGTGCAGAGGTTGTACGATGAGGTGGAGCACACGAGATTTTTGTCGGAGATTTGCGTTCGGAAGGGGAAGAAGAATCGGGAGATGTTGAAGGAAGTCGTGAGGGAGTTCCGAATGCACGAGGGTTTGTTTCTAGAAGAGATGGAAGAATTGGAGAAACAAGTGTGCTTGTGTTTTCTCGACATAAATCGATCGAGGAGGCTACTCGTCCAAGAAATGGATAAATATTGAGCAATTATAATATATTTGCAGCAATTTTTTATTTCTTTTGCACCTTTTGTAGCTTTTAATTTTAATGGATTCTTACAATAGACTCTTGTTTCAAAAAGGAAATGCTGTCCAATAGTTGCTGCAAATTAAATATATTAAAAAAAAAAAAAAACCTGTCTAGTGAACCAGTTGACAAAAGTCAAAGCTCTGTTCTCAGCTTCTTGTATTGTTCGGAGTCGAGCAGAGTAGCCTTCGCCTTGAGCCAATCTGCAGGTCTTGGCATCATTATTGCAATGTATCCCTCTCTATCCGGCTACAATAATACGTTATACAAGTATAATTATATAAGTATCGATTTTTTTCACGTGGAAAAAATAAATCAAATAAACGTTTTGATGGTCAGGCTATCATGGAAGGACTAACCAATGCTCGTAAAATTCGGTAGTTATCTATGAGCCTACACACACACACACACACACACACACACACACACACACACACACATATATATATATATATATATATATATATATATATATATATATATATATATATATTTTTTTTTTTTTTTTCTTTTGGGACTTAAATTGAGGCGGTTTATCTAACCTAAGTACAATTTGCCAAAATCGTGGAAATTTATGTTATAATGCTTCCAAATCAATCTAGCCGATAAAATACCAATACGAGTGTCTAAGATAAGACAGAACCCCCCGGATATTATTTTACAACCTGAAAAAATTATGCCTTAAGCTCAAGATTTGAATACTAAAATGTGTTTGGAAATCAACTTAAACGCGAAAATAAAATATTGACAATTTGCGTACCACTGAATTGAGCAATTCCGGTTGACTGATTAACGTTTCATTGACTTCCAATAGAGAGCCTTTTACGCAACACCTGAAATAGTTGATGAACTTTTACGAGTTACGAGAATTACTAAATTACACTCAAACGAAAAGGAGAAGAAGAAGAGAAGCTTACGACCTCACTACGTAAGAAGCGTCGGCCGTGCACACTTTACATAATGCTGTATTGGATTCGAAATGCTGGGCGTTCTGTTTATATATATACACACATACGAAACTCGTCAAAATCAAATCTTACAAAGAATGTGATGAAATGAAACATCAACCCCGTTTTTTATCTTACTTTTCTATTATCTAAAAACGTTATATCTTCGAATAACGCAAACTAAACATATTAAACGAAGCATAAATGAAAAATCTTCGATATTCCAAAAATTCAAACACGGATGCTTTTTATAACCTTTTTCCGTTTTCCGGTAACTTTAATTCCGCTTCGATCGGACTTTCCAACATTAAAATCGATCGAAGTGACTCCACCTTCGTCCTTAAACGCCACATGAGTTGGAGCCAAACCAATTACACACAGCCTATATATTATATCAATCACAACCAAATTTAATTTACTCATTTGCAGATTAATAAAAAAATAATAATAATAAAAAACATACCCATTGGCATGACGATGTACATACTGATCATGCCCCGGCTTCATAAAATCTGAAGAACAAAATCACCCCCAAAAAAAATTATTAGGGCCCAAAATGAAAAAAAATAAAATAAAAAAGGGGGCTTTCAATAAATTCTTATAGTTTACCCGGAAGAAAGTAAGTAGTGAAATTGGCTTCGACGGAAGAGCGGGGTATTTCGGGCAATTCATCCACATTGGGCAACAGAAGCCTTTTCAATTCTTCTTCTTCTTCATCTTCTTCTTCTTCTATCAGCTGTTTTTCTCCTCCGATTTGAGAATCATGGGTTGTGTCCGAAGAAGAATTACAAGACAGAAGAACTGGGTCGGAGTTCTCGTACGAGGTTACGAGATTTAATTCGGAGTTGCTGTCGGGGTTTAGCAGCGACTCCATTGATGTACAAGCTTTCGTCGGTTTGTACCAAAATTGAGGTTTCTGGTTTCACTGGAAGGAAGGTATCAATTGGGTTGGGCTTTGGTTGATAAATTTATGGCCCATTTATAGAAATTACAAAAAGGTCCAAATAGCCCATTAGTAGTTTATATACTGTATACTTTTTCTTTTTGTAAATAGCATTTAACCCCCTATGGTTTGAGTTTTGTACACATGACCCCCTTGTATTTTAATATAAGCACATAACCCCCTTTACCGTCAAAAATTTCTTATTCTTAATGAGAATGATTATTTACTAAGGGAAATATCATAGGGGGTGTTATGGGTTTATATTAAAAGTATAGGGGTTCATGTGCACAAAGTTTAAACTACAGGGAATTATATACTTATATTGAAAGTACAACGGAATTATGTGCACAAAACTCAAACTAGGGGGGAGTTAAGTGTGATTTACCCTTTCTTTAATCAAAAAAATTACTTCAACTTCCATAGTATACTTCACATTGCAGATGGTATACGTATATAATTATAATTGTTTGCTTAGTGCTATTAACCTCTATTAACTAAGGGCTTGTTCGGTTACCGCTATAAGGTTCTGCTGATTAAATAGTAGGGGCTAATAGCATGTCCAGTTGGTAAGATTCACACTTTTTCAAACTCGCTACTAAAATCAAAGTCTTGGCTACTAAATTACTGTCTCAGACAATAATATTACTGTTTGGGACAGTAATATTATGAATATTATTTTCCCGAACAGTAATATTATTAATATTATTGTCTAAGACAGTTAAATTACTGTTGGAGACAGTAATTTAGCAGCCAATGCAGTAATATTAAAAAAAAAGTCAATTAACAGTTAAATTACTGTCTCCGACAGTTAAATAACTGTTGGAGACAGTAATTTAGCAACGAATACAGTAATATTAATTAAAAATATTTTTTTTAAGAATAAAAAAGTCAATTAACAGTTAAACTACTGTCTCTGACAGTTAAATAACTGCTGGAGACAGTAATTTAGCAACGAAAACAGTAATATTAATTAAAATAATTAAAAAAAAATTAACAGTTAATTACTGTCCCCGACAGTTAAATAACTGCTGGAGACAGTAATTTAGCAGCAAAGACAGTAATATTAATTAAAGTAGTTTTGAAGAAAAAAAAAATCAATTAACAGTTAAATAACTGCCGGAGACAGTAATTTAGCAGTCAAGACTGTAATATTAATTAAAATATTTTTTTTAGGAAAAAAAATTACTAAAAAAAAAAAAAAGTCAACGCCGGAGACCTGGCGGTCAACGGCAGTTGACCGGCCGTAAAAAAATTTCAGGGAAAAAAAAAGAAAAAAAAAAAAAAAAAAAAAAGTCAACGCCGGAGACCGGCGGTCTCCGGTGGTGGCGGGTCAAAATTGGGATCAAAATTAAAATTAGGGTTAAAATTGGTTAATTGATGAAATTTGGCTAAATTGTGGTGTAAATCATGAAATTAGAGTTAAATTGAGTTTCAATGAATTATGGGTAATTTTGGTATATATAAGATGATTTTCCTTATTTGCAAATAAGTTTGAATGAACTGGATTTATTTGAAAGACAAAAAAGTTGGATGTCCCTCTTTTAATTAAGTGCCCTTATCATGAGCATTTTTGTGATTAACCTAATATAATAAATTAGTCATTGGGGAATTAATTCAATCTCACCTAATCCAATGTTATCCGATATAGATAAGCAAACGAGTAAATTAGGGAATGGAGATGAAAAATTGTTAGAAGCGCTCAAGTGGTGAAATATTTTAATTAGAAAATTAAATCAAGTTATTCGAAACACGCTTTAAGTTTGATTTGTTAAAAGTTCGTCCGAGCTTGATTAAGAAAAAAAAAATATACGAAAAATGAAGCTGCTTGAGCTCGTTTCATGTACAATTTGATTAAGATTCGCTCAAGCTCGACTCAATTATTTGTCATTATGAACAATCACAAGAATCAAATAGATATATAATAACCACAATTAAATTAAAAAATACAAATTAATGCATTATTTTTCTTATCACTTACTCCACAAAAGCACAAACCCCACACTAGAAGAAAAAAAAAATACACAAAGAAAAAAAACCCACAACAAATAACAAATATTATGACCTAATTAATTAATCAATTGAAAAAAACAATTTGATTAATTAATTAATTAATTAACAACCCTGCAATCTAGCCTGATCTCAGTGCCACCACCATTGATGCTGCTCATCTTAATCATAGACTTGACAAAAGCATCGAAAAACTCCTCCTGATTGGCTGCGAATTTTGCGACTAAAGCCTTTGTCCTGGAAGAAGTAATTAAAGCCTGGTCGGAGGAGAAAATGCTCTTCCCTTGAAGAAGCAATTTGAAGTATGCATTGTCGAAAACGGTCGGGGAAGAGTCCAAGTTCGCTCCGGCACTCTTCACCTTGTTGTGCTTCGGGCAAACCTGCCTTAGACTTGTCGCGAACGACGGGTTCATTGTGGGGTCCACGTCGGTTTTGTTGCTAAAGTTGTGGATTCTGTTCTGGAACGACGAACAGTGGGAGAATCCTAGTGTGTGCCCTCCTGCTCTCGTTAATTTAATATTTCATTAATTAATTTATAGAGGTTTAACTGTATTTTGCATGCGCGTAAAGGAATAGAAGATTCAGAATCTGGGACGAATTGTACAAAATTAATATTTAAAAAAATGGTTTTTTTAAGTAAATACTTAATCTGATTTCAATTATAGAGGTTTAACTGAATATGCATGCATAAATGAAAAAAAAAATCAAAGTTTAGGACGAATTGGACGTTATTTATATTTAAAAAAAAAGTGTTTCTTTTTAAGTAATAACTTAATCCGATTTCGATCTTTAATATTATATATATATATATATATATATATATATATATATATATATATATATA